TGTAGATATGATATGAAGCAGTTTTTACCGATTAAGCAAATGTACCCTTTCAACGGTAGGAAGGCGGGGAGTTGCGTACACTCGTACGTCCGGCAATGATGCACACATGGTACGAAAATTTTCGCGTGGTTCCAAGGGACCGGTGAGCTGCCTGCTGGATTAATGTCACCCCAAACGTCCAGCAAACACGGATTTATTGTAGCCCCAAGGTACGGGGTGTGCTTCTTACGGAACGCCGCAGTAATGTTGAAATTTGTGTACTGGGTTTTTAGACGGGTTTTACGATAAGCCGACAAAATGTAACAAGCAGTTCAGAACTCCTCCAGGTGCGGTCAGTACCTATACACGAAAATACAAGGAATGGGTGAAAATGCGCCTAGAAAAACTATTGACATCCAGGAGTCGTTTCATTCTAATTAAGTGTGCTTTCGGTAAAACTGGACCCAGTCCTCGCCAGAATGCTGAGAAATCGCAATTTTGTGGAAAAGTGATTGACAGTAATGAAAATGGTCGAAAAGTTGTTTGAGAAGTCCTTTAAGAAACTGCACATTTTGCTGAGGAATAAATTCGGAGGGATGAAACGCTTACCACTGCAGCGAGGACGGAAGATCGATAAAATATGGACGATTTGTGTTCCCCATGAAGTGACATGGAAAACAAGCGTGGTAAACTCTCACATCGGCCCGTTCATTGGTTTACTGCTGCGGTAACCAAAAAAGCTTCCAGCCTTGGCCAAATATGTCACACTTGTCGGGCCAAAATCGTGAGTATCCAAAGCTGGGCTGAACGGTTTTGCTGTCCATGTAGGGTGGCTAAAACATACTATACACGTAACTGTCCTGATCCGGAACTTCAGTCCATAAAAACCTCAAGCACCTTCCATATTCGGAGAATTATCGTGGATTCCTGCTGAGTCATTTGATAATATTGTGCTGAAATTCTTATATATGTACTCCTTGTATGTTACAACTGTGAAAGTTTGGGTGCATTCAGTGCAGCCTGTGAAGTGGTAGGGTCAGAGGTCTCGGTAACGGAATATGGATAATACAAAGTCTGCCTTCAAATACGCCAAGGAATGGAGAAACAATATGCCTNATATATGTACTCCTTGTGTGTTACAACTGTGAAAGTTTGGGTGCATTCAGTGCAGCCTGTGAAGTGGTAGGGTCAGAGGTCTCGGTAACGGAATATGGATAATACAAAGTCTGCCTTCAAATACGCCAAGGAATGGAGAAACAATATGCCTTGAGCAATGGCTTCAAAGCAGATGACAACGGTCCAAAATGTCACGGGAAACCTGACACTACACTGGTTGAATGAATGTAGTGAAGTCCCCTCTGTTGCCGGCCCGGATGCTTGTTGGTTTCGCACTGCTTTCTGTTTCGTTCGAACCTACACCGACTTTTTAAACCAAGATGAGCCATCACAAAAACTTGAGGGCAAAGTGCCTAAAATGGCTTGGTATTGGTACTATGAAATTAACCTAACACGCACGGCGAGTTTTCCAATACTTGGTCACCTGACATGCTCTGATACCAGCCGTTTGCAAAGCCAAGTGATTCTGACCGTAATGTAGCTCATGATAGTAGCCACGCTAGCGCAGACGATCCTTGGTTTGTTCAGCGATCTGGGCAATTTGGTTGCAAACGTTTAATAACCAGTCAAGATGATATCATCAGTGCCCTGATAGGGCACGTGATAGAGCGTAGAGATGGGTCGTTGATCGTGCAGTGATTAGCGTTGCGTGTGTTTTACTATATATGCTGCTAATCGCGACAGATTTTCCATTTTGATTGCTTGTTTTGTCAGGGGGTTCTAGTGGTGGAAATGTTATCGTGTGTCCTAGTTGGTCGGTGACCCTGCGATATTCATGCCTGATCCCCTGCGATCATGCTCAAGTTGGTAATAGAATGACCCCAATGCTTGACCTGTGGCTTCCGTCTAGTGACCTTTGTTGATCTGACTAGAGAAGTTTATTGGCTTGATAAGTCGGTGGCCGACTCTGTTTAAGTATTTTGCTTGAGATCTTGACCCTATGCACGTGGGGGTGCATTAACCGGACCAATCTAAATGTGTCAGTCGATATAATTTGTCGTGGATCACTATGCTTCCAGAAAGTATCTGTCGTGTCTCCGTATGCCAAGATTTTCACGTTTTCCAGACTGAAGTTGACTTTGGTCATCATGTATGCATATCACGGCTAGAGGGTCACCTCCAACGACGGCGTGTATTATTTTCTCCCGATTTGTTCAACCTAGAACTCGCTGTAGTGTATTTAGTATATTGCATTCTTCCTCTTGGTTTCGCCTTGTTTATCCTCTCACGAAAAGGACCAGTCGATGCAAACCAACCGAACTACTAAATCCAGGTAATAAGACATTCAGATGCAAGATAATCGGACGATGATGCACGCCAGATTCCGATACGGCAACGCATATTACTAACTAGCTAATCTCAGACATAATTCACACACCACTTATAGGAACCACCTAACCACAAACTGAGGATTTCCACATGTTTTGCAAACCTACCGCGGTACCTGGCAGGCAGTTCAAACACCACCCGATAGATAACCATGAATATCCGGACATTTTGCCAAATGATCCACCCTAATTTGTTGAACCGAGGGTGCCAAAAAGTGGCTACAGTCCAGCGGACGCAAAACTAGATAGGTGTCGATGAGTTAGGCAAACTCCACCTGAGGCCATAGCTGACTAAGCGACTTGTTGCGTAGAGAACCAGTCACTGAAGAGCAGCAAAGCTAAACGATGACGACCAACTCGCAGCATCTCTTAGCTCCGCCGAAACGAATGCCATTAATCTCGGGAAAACTCCGTTACAATGAACACGAAATCTGCCCAGCGCTTAATCATAAGGCCATACATTTTCGCTAGATTTATTAGTGCACTATGGTAAGTAGACATCGTGGATAACTTGTTCCGACAATGGCAACTAATAATCTCTCCAGAGAAATAAGTTACTTGATCTGGTAGATTCCCCATACCCCTACTCAGAGTTCCGCAATTCCAGCCGTTATGGCGAGAACTCGAACAATATCCTGAGTACCGACATCTTATCCACCGTTGAAGCCACATTGATTTATGCACTCCATTTGCACATAATGCTACAAAACTTCGTCTACAGTTCGCATGAAAGTTGAATTTACAAATCGCTTCTAGAATCCCACTGCGATGAACGTTAGCATGAACAATGTTTTGAACTTGCGCCTTCACTATTTGGTGTTTTACGACGAGGTGCTACCGACGTGTGGTGCATGTACCAACCTAATACACAGGAACCCTGTTCCGTGATGCAACAAGACTTTTATGGAATGGATGGAAATAGTTGCAAGTGAAGCGCCAAAACTTCGCAAAACTTTCCATATCAAGCGTGCTGATTAGATTACGATTCACATCTTGGTCGGGTCACTATCTGTTTTTTTGTTCACAACACATAAAACGCAGATAAAGAGATAATCCCCTCCTCGGGGCACACCCATACTCATCATATTTTATTTCCGGTGACTGCGCCGACGAGCTTCCGTCGGTAAAAGGAGGGCTGTGAGAAAACGCTCAGCATTCAGCAGCAGAATTCTGAAACTTCACACGTTCGAAATCCGTCCTTAACCTTGCAAAACCTTCTTGACGAATGAACGGGCATCCAATGACCCTAAAGTGATGCAATAACCGGCGAAAACTGGACAAATTACCGACGGTCATTAACGAAAAGCCAAAATACGCACCAAATTCTTTGCGAACAGAAAGGAAATTTGGTTGTTTGCATTAACGCGAATAACAAAATACTACTTTTCGAAAAATTTTGGTGACAATCGGTAGATTTATTGCTGGGCAACTTTTCGCTTTTGACACAAAAGCTTCGTCAGGCTAAGTGACTAGGTCCCGAGGTGGATCGAGATTTAAGGCTAAATCTCTGTTGGGTGTCGGGATTTTTTGTGTCAGAGTTGAACAAGAGTTGGGTCGGTTGGGAAACCAACATGTGTTTGGGTCCAGCCTAGGGTCTAGTTCTTCTGGTTCGGCTCATTTGATGGTCCCTCTTGAACGTCGATCGAACCTTCTATCCGTCTGTGGATGAGCTAGTGCTAAGATAGTTGTGTAAGAGGGATGCTGTGACCTAACACACAAAAATCCCTCGGCCGACACCCAACAGAGATTCAGCTTCACTTAGCTGATTAGCTCTCTTTCCGCCTTAAATCTCGACCAAACTCGAAACCTAGTCACTTGGTCAGACGAAGCTTTTGTGTCCAAAGCGAAACGTTGCTCAGCAATAAATTTACCGACTATCACCAAACTTCTTCGAAAACGATGTCTACCCAATCGGTTCCAAGTATTTTTCACGTGATTGAAACACTTCTTTAAAAAAAATTATCCAGGTAATGAATTTGAAGTTATCAAGAAATACACTCACTTGCAAATAAATTTGGTTTTCACGAGAGACTAAATTGAACCTCTCGTTTATGATGTCCTCCAGCTGAATGTGCTGCACACAGGCCGCCTCATGATTCAGTTGGCACGATATTCGAGATATCGCAGTACATTTTCATAAAGGAAACTACTCACAAGGTTGCTGAAAACTCTTTGACAGCCCACGACCGGTTTCGCTCTCCTTGGGGCTCATCAGGTAGGCGCAGTCCCCTGGGTTGTCGAAGAGTTTTCAGCAGCCTTGTGAGTAGTCTCCTTTGTGAGCTTGAAGTTCCTTCTGTAGGTTTCCAAAGACAGATGACTCATTCACAGGGGTGGACAGTCTCTCAAGCTGAGAAAGTGCATGTGAAGACAAATATGGGACTGCCAGCTGCTGGACACCCCGAAAGCAACGAAGACAAAAAGGCTGCGTGCACGCAGAACGTGTATTATCATGGAAGAATCCTATCGAAACTAGCGCACCAGATCACAAGGAGAAAAATAACAACCCAGACGATTTCGTGCTGTTGCATGATTGTCGCCCGAGCTAATATGAAATTGCAGTAATCCTGGTCAAGAAACTTAGGCAGCATGGAACTTTTTCGAGGGGTCCTTTGCATGTTGCATGAGTAATTCACAGGGGGCAAAATGATCACCGTATAGTTTACGATAGTCTTCCATTCGTTTCACCAAGCCAGCGGCACCATGGATGTCAAGGTAACGGAATGGTCCTGAAAGGAATGTAGACAAAAATCAAAACGATGTGAATGAACCGAAAATGAGGGAATCAACCAACCAAACTGACGTAATCTTCTCTGGGTTCAACAAAACACTTTCCTGGAATATCAAAATCTTTTCGAAGTAGCATTTTACTGGTTGTTGATCAACTGACCAATGATCTGTTCACCCAGATTGGAAAATGGCTTTCAAACGTTCCGTAGCCAGTCTAGGAGACATCATCAACGGGTGGATCTCCTCGATTGGCGAGAATTTCGAAAGCCGATTGCCAAGCTCGACGATCAGCAACCAGTAAACGTGCCCGAGGCCTTTTTCGATATGTTGTCAACAATGACATTTTTGTTTCATTTTGATCATTAAACAGCCTCAAATTTTTAGTGAACACGTTATGAATCATGTATTTCTATGGTATCCTAACAACAGCGACTAACAGTTAGACACGCTGAAGGTGCTGATGTTCACTGATCAATCGCAAACCCCATCGGTATCCGTCTAGACAACACGATAGTTTTCCAGGGATGGGAATACCACCAGCCAGTGGAGACGAATGCGGACATAACTTTATTTTGAAGATTAAATGAGCCAGGAAAACAAACTGACTCATTGGGCACCTTGCATTTTACCTGCAGTTTCAGTGTCAGCCAAACCTACTACTGATGGTTTTGGCCACAGTACCAATCCAATCTCAGTAGAAAGGGGCACTCATGAATACCTGTCTCCGGGAATCTGATCACCCCCGTCACCACAGATGTTTGTACAAGGTCACCATGAAGAGCTGGGCCGTTGACGTAGTTATGACCATTCCGAGGACCACCTGTTATGAAAGATGGACACACCCATTGTCCTGGGGAAACGTGTTTTTTAGTGTTCACTCATTTGAATCGGCCTTGACAGCGTTCGTCCCGTACCTTATGACTTACAATACATGCCTGACATCCGGAAATTAGCCAGGGGAACGAATGACCTTAGGCCCCAGATTACCCTGAAGCCTGGCTGTCACCAGGTTGGATGGGTAGAAATATCACTGACGAAAATCCGGAGCATAGCTAAGTGTTCTTGAATATGACTTTAAATTCTGTCCGCTATACAGGTTCGACAACTCAAGATATTACTAATCGGTATTATTACTAATTGGTATTACTAATTGGTAGTTGATCGCGTCTGCTCTCTTGTCTGACATCAGTACCAGAGTGATGAGTAATTTCCTTCACACTGGGTAAACGCAAGATTCCAAAAGACTGACATGTGGTCAGCACTAGTATCAAAGACTTTAGAATCTTCGGACGTAGACTGTGTATACCTGCATATAGTGCAAAGGAGTTGGCTTCCTTCATGCTACCCCTGGGCTGAAGGTCATCCGGATAGATCGAGCTGGAAGCCATGCATTCAAAAGCATTAGACGGGGCATCCTCCACGGCCATTACCTGCAAATCCTATGTAATCTATAATACTCGATTGGAATTGACAGTTTGCTGACAGGCTTACTGAGGTTTTAAATCCCACAGAATCGATTGGTAACTCTCCGTCAGTACTCGACTATATCCATGTCATCCAACCATGTACACCGATTTAGGCGGATCATAAGCAGTTGTTTGCACACAGCTTGTGAAACGATCGGGCGGAGTCTTCTTTGGTCATCCACCAAGCGATTTTGTTTCTCTGCTGGTAAGATAAGCTGACTTCATTGTCATGGGGAACGGGAACGCCAAACAATTCTCCAATACAAGCACTGCTTGCAGCTAGATTGCGGTAATTTCCTGTGTGGGTTTACTCATTCACGTTGTGCAAAGTAATGTAGCTGAATTCGAGCATAGCATGGCAGTTCAGTTCAAGTGTAGGCTGAACTTTCATTAGCTGTTGGTTAGTCAGGGCCAAATAATTTCGCCAGGGCATCAGACGAGTGATGTAAGTAGAAATGCCACAGATCTCAACACCATCTACAACGCTGCAATAGGGATTTTTTTAGGTAAGCATCATGCGTTCGACATGCACTGTAAAGGAAGCCATCGACTGGATAGACGTCATGGCCTCGACAGTCTTTTACGCTCCCTCGGCACGTAAACTGACGTTTTCGGAATTCTCTTAATGCTGCATCAAAAGTCATCGTTAACTTGGTGAACAGCCGCGTTACGTAATATACGTTAATATGCGTTTTACGCCGAACGTAAGTAAAGAAAATCAAACAAAAAGAATGGTCGCAACGGCGTCTGTACATAATTTGACCTTAAAAGAACACAGATTGGGGAAGTGGTACACTAGCAAAAAAGAATGCGAAAGCCCAACCAGTGGTCCTCAAGGCTGAATTTAGAGACCCACTGAACTGTGTGAATGGGCTTCTGTATCACATGCATGTGGCGTACTTGAGTATAGCGGAGCGAATCCTGGTATATGATAGTAACAGCTTCTCAAGCGAAAGATTTCAGGGTAGATTTCCTAAGAGATTATCCCTAACCTGATGATTGTCGTCAGCGCCCACGGTAACAAGCCAGTAGTAGATACTGGTTTTTAACTGTCTTACAGTCATGGTTGTACGTGGGCTGGGATACTGACACGGCACCCAAACCTACCCAAGAGAACGCGAAGGGTCCTCAACTGACCCAAAAGTTTGTCGGCAAGGCCATAACGGACGGTGTAAGACTAATGTAGTGGTCCAACTTCTAGGAGAAGCGTTCTTACACTTCCATTACCAAACATAAGGCCAACGAAAACTGTGGAAGGCCCACAATCAGTTTCACCTTTACGTGACTCATCAAGTAGGCATAACGTGGGCTGACTGACACGGCACCCAAACCTACCCAAGAGAACGCGAAGGGTCCTCAACTGACCCAAAAGTTTGTCGGCAAGGCCATAACGGACGGTGTAAGACTAATGTAGTGGTCCAACTTCTAGGAGAAGCGTTCTTACACTTCCATTACCAAACATAAGGCCAACGAAAACTGTGGAAGGCCCACAATCAGTTTCACCTTTACGTGACTCATCAAGTAGGCATAGTCTTCGAATTTCCAGCAGTCTTATTTCCTAGTTTAATACCGAGAAAGAGTAATACGAACGACAGATTTAAGTGGATTTGAGCTGGGTTTCACATCAACGCCAACTCAACCCGAAAACGGCGTTTGTTAAACCCCCATACACCGATCGACCCACGATGGCTATTGAAGATGTTACGTGCACACGTCTAGCATAGCTCAGTGAATTACTGAAGTACAAACAGTCAAACAACTACGAGATTCAGCCCATTGCAATCACGTAATTACACCAGACAGGATAAAGCCACTAAGTACGTTGAGAAGGGCAGTGGTTCTGCTCTACAGAGAGCAGAGAAAGGCACCAGACGCAAGCACATCAGTTTTGTGGTACAGGTGTATACATGGATGTGTAGTGCATAGCGGGAGGAGAGAACAAGATCCGAATGGGAAGTAAGCCAGCTGTTTTGGTTTTAAATGGTGGAGAGATACGCGCAACCTTCTTTGTTAAGTGTTGGACTTACGTTGGTTAACTTATCCTTTTAGCTATCGACTATTCTCAATACTCTTTCTATATGGAACCTTAGTGAGCGCATCTTAACCAGATACTCTGACTGCCCAATCTCTCAAGCACGTGCCGATGGGCTAACCAAGGGATTAAATCCGCCATACAGGATATTGTAGCGGCCTGAAGCGGTAACCAAGTTTGTGCACTACGATCTGGTTTCCCAATAATACGACAACAAACTGGCGAGAAATGCGGTTACAAAGTACCTATAACGGCAAAACACAAGCGGCGCGAAAAAAAGAGGTATATATGAACGGATGAGGAATGGCTTTGATGGGCAAGATAGAAAACACTCTTGGGCAGTCATTCAGAGAGAGGAGCCTAGAGGTAGTATGAACACGAAACAAAGAGAATCCATGCTTGTTACGGAGCGTCACAACCCAATGGTTTGACAATGTAGTCCATTAGTATCAAGCAGTGCTTTATTGTTACAGGTTGGTGACACGGGATAAGAAAGCGAATTGCACAGTTATATGCACCTAGGTAGAGTGGATCAGCCTTGGGATTCGGTAGCTAGTATGGCCTACAATGAGTGCTCAAGCGAAGAATTTCGGGGGCTAGGTGATTGGAAAGTTGTTGGCGTTCGGACGTTGGTCCCCTAGTCGGCAGGTGTACAAATCAATAGAAAAAGATTTTGTGGTGAAAATAACTACATGGGAAACTAGGGGGCGTAATGGCAGCCTTTTAGGACTCTCGAGCTCGGCGGACAAACCAACAACCAGATAGCACACCCGGACAATCCCGATGGAGCCCAATTGTGAAGGTGTAAGCTAGAGCAATGAATAAATGCGTCCAGCCCTAGAACCATTGATTAGGATAAGGGCGATAGGCGACAAGATGTGATCGTTCTGGATTATCCAGTAATGGCATCTACTCTAACGTTTTGTTTCGTGATTTGCCCCAGCCTATTAATAATCCACAATCACCGAGTGCACCGCTGGATTCACAATCATTTAAGTAAATACCATACACAAAGCTGTGACTGCGAGTATGTTTCTTCATCCGATGATGTCAAACAACTGCGGCAGAGTTTCACTCGCTAAGTCACCAGCTAGTAGTTTAGCTGGTTTCAAGCCAAACACAAAGGAATGTGAATAGCTGGCAGGTGACTAGGATGGCTGACGAAGTGAGGCTGTCGGTACGCTCCGAGTTAGAATATAACCTCGCTTACCTACATAACCGGTTGGGATCATATTCACAAGAAAGAACATGAATTTCTTACCTCCAAAGTTTGGCGGAAATCCTAGTCCAAAAACAGCTCCAATATCCCCTTCGACTGGACCGTTGATAAGAATTCCCTCCTGTAGACACAACACAGCCTCGTTGACAAAGCGCGAGAACAAACGGTACTGAATAGTTTCCCGAGTGTTCTCTATCTTGGCAGGAACTTTGTTCCGTTCAAGTAGTGTGACTGCGTCTGAGTTCTCTAGACGATGTTTACCCTTCTTGTCCGTGTAACTATAAATACCCTTCCCAGATTTGCGTCCACGCATCCCATTAGTAGACATGTCCTTCAGAATTTGTAGGTTGCCGCCCTGGAAATAGAGACAAGTGGGGAGGTCGGTATGAAGGTAGAGCAAGGATACAGTGAAGAGAGACTACGCAGCAAAGCTTATCGTTGTTGTTTTGGGACACGGCGAAGTTCAAAAGAATGAAAACTAACCGAGTAAGACTTTTATTGCTTATTTTCAGAACAAAAACGAGCTCGTTTTATAGTGAATACTTTTACCAGAAAGTCTCCGATCGAATTGTGTAGGAAGCATGAAGGAAACGGGCCCCTTTTAGGCACATAGGAAACAAACAGACTACGTCAAATACACTCATTTTCTCCGACTGAAAGCAGTCATCTTGTCGTGGTGGTCGGGTCACGAACACGAAACATAGAGAATCCATGCTTGCTGCGGAGCGTCACAACCCAGTGGTTTGACAATGTAGTCGGTTAGTATCAAATAGTGCTTTATTGTTACAGGTTAGTAACACGGAATAGGAAAACAAATTCCACAGCTATATGCACCTAGGTAGAGTAGATCAGCCTTGGGATTCGGCAGTTAGTGAGGTCTACAAAGAGTGCTCAAGCGAAGAATTTACTGGCTAGGTGACTGGAATCTTGTTGGCGATCGGACGTTGGTCCCCTAGTCGGTAGGTGTACAAATAAATAGAGAAAAGTTTTTTGGTGAAAATAAACTATATGAAAATCTAGGGGGCGTAATGTCAGTCTTTTCGAACTCTCGAGTTCGGCGGACAAACCAACCACCAGAGAGCACACCCGATGGAGCCCAATTGTGAAGGTGTAAGCTAGAGCAATGAATAAATGCGTCCAGCCCTAGAACCATTGATTAGGATAAGGGCGATAGGCGACAAGATGTGATCGTTCTGGATTATCCAGTAATGGCATCTACTCTAACGTTTTGTTTCGTGATTTGCCCCAGCCTATTAATAATCCACAATCACCGAGTGCACCGCTGGATTCACAATCATTTAAGTAAATACCATACACAAAGCTGTGACTGCGAGTATGTTTCTTCATCCGATGATGTCAAACAACTGCGGCAGAGTTTCACTCGCTAAGTCACCAGCTAGTAGTTTAGCTGGTTTCAAGCCAAACACAAAGGAATGTGAATAGCTGGCAGGTGACTAGGATGGCTGACGAAGTGAGGCTGTCGGTACGCTCCGAGTTAGAATATAACCTCGCTTACCTACATAACCGGTTGGGATCATATTCACAAGAAAGAACATGAATTTCTTACCTCCAAAGTTTGGCGGAAATCCTAGTCCAAAAACAGCTCCAATATCCCCTTCGACTGGACCGTTGATAAGAATTCCCTCCTGTAGACACAACACAGCCTCGTTGACAAAGCGCGAGAACAAACGGTACTGAATAGTTTCCCGAGTGTTCTCTATCTTGGCAGGAACTTTGTACCGTTCAAGTAGTGTGACTGCGTCTGAGTTCTCTAGACGATGTTTACCCTTCTTGTCCGTGTAACTATAAATACCCTTCCCAGATTTGCGTCCACGCATCCCATTAGTAGACATGTCCTTCAGAATTTGTAGGTTGCCGCCCTGGAAATAGAGACAAGTGGGGAGGTCGGTATGAAGGTAGAGCAAGGATACAGTGAAGAGAGACTACGCAGCAAAGCTTATCGTCGTTGTTTTGGGACACGGCGAAGTTCAAAAGAATGAACACTAACCGAGTAAGACTTTTATTGCTTATTTTCAGAACAAAAACGAGCTCGTTTTATAGTGAATACTTTTACCAGAAAGTCTCCGATCGAATTGTGTAGGAAGCATGAAGGAAACGGGCCCCTTTTAGGCACATAGGAAACAAACAGACTACGTCAAATACACTCATTTTCTCCGACTGAAAGCAGTCATCTTGTCGTGGTGGTCGGGTTTCAGTGCTGCAATGATCCTGCGGGTTATACAGGCTGAAAAAATTGTTCAGCTGTAGCACCTCTTCAGTGCCTAATTGCTATGTCATCCGAAGGTTGTATGAGGGCTGGGATACCGCCAGGTTGCCAAGCCTAGACAGGGGAAATCGAGAAGCAGGGGTCGGGCTCGAACCACGGACCTTCCGGTCAGTAAATTCGCGCTCTAAACACTTGGGCCATCTCGCCCCACTAGGTGGAACTCAGTTCTTCGTCGGGCTGCTCCACTCTGGCCATTCTCGCATGGTTGAAACTTCCTAAAACTGAAACGGTAAAAGTCAAACATTTACGGAAACAAACAAGTCCAGTTTTCCTTTCAGTTTTTGGACCAATCATGACAAACCACTGATACTAAGATTGCAAGTAAATCGAGACTGCTGGGTGAGAAAAACCAATAGCGCTCAGTATTCACAAAATGGAATTGAATTTTCGAAAGCTATGACGTGTCATTGATGGACTAAAGCAATCGGGCAATTGAGTCAAGAGTACCAGTCCAAAATTTTGAGCCCAATTTAGACATTTCGGTGCCTCAGGGATGCTGGGAAGTTATTCCACCAAACTTTTCCGCCAGAGGTATGATTGCTTCAGTGGACAATGAAATTTGGTGAGCTGCAAAAAGATGAACGTAGATTAGGATGGTTTTTGGTTTGAGCAGCAAAATGCAACGTTTTGGCGCAAAACGTTTCACTCCACTCATAAAGGTTTTGCAGCTAAGAGCATCTTGCGGTTGATGGGCCCCCAAAGTAACTGCTGGTGAAGGGTCAGTTAAAATTCGTACCTAGCCACATATGTGCTGCTTCGCAAAACATGAAAATGAGTGACATGATAAAAAGGATGTTTCTGAAAGCTGACAACGCGTAGAAGACAATGACAATGGTGTGCATGGCCACGTGGCCTGAAAAATGCTACAATCTCAGATACCGCAACAGTTCTGCCTGTTTACCAGAACCCGAATGATGAATAATTACAACAACCAAATTAGCATCAAATGTACGGAACACATTCCACCAAAAAACGAACAGATAACTTCCTTGGTCGGGTCGGGGTAATATTTCTACTACACTAATATTTACACACAGCAGGCTTTCGAAAAGAAGTAAGAGATGAATGACATCACTTACAGCCATTCTCGCGGGGAAAGCAGCCGACAGTGTTTCGGCCACATGGAAAGCCACATCAATACCAACTTCATCAGCCAAAGTAGCCAACCCAACCGGCCATCCGAAAGAGGTAGTGGCCTTGTCCACGTCAGTGGGCGATACGCCCTCCTGCAGAATGAGGACACACTCAGATAGCATGGGACCGAGCAGACGAGTGGTATAAAAACCTGGGGCGTCCTTGACCACGATGATCACTTTGCCCTGTCGGAGACCGACGTCCATTGCAGAAGCTGGGAAAAAATCGTGGGTGAAGCAAGCGTTGGTGAACACAAAAACGATGTTTTAAGGTCGAATTACTTCCAAAACATTTACCAAAACACAAAAAGAGGAAAAATCAAGTTCGCTCGCAAGGACGCGCTCATTGTGCAGCCAGTCAAAGTTCACAGTTGGAGTGCTCAGCCAGTCGACAAACGCAAAAGGTAAGAACTCTCGAGTAAAAACAGAAAACTTTTGTGAGCAGTTAGCGTAAGAAGCCTGATAATTCTGCAGACTTAGTAGGAAAATAGACCCTCAGTTATGGCCACACAAGCTCGAGATAACTCAGATGCGCAAGTTACTGACCGAGATGTGTACGGCTGAGATCAAAGCTTGATTTTCCGACTGCTTCTACCAGGTGTGGAACGAAATAATGGTACATCAGTCCTCACGCGTCGTTCGGATGGCACGGCAATCATACACCAAAACAGTGTCCCAAATGATCGGTCTGATTTAGTGCATATCTCCCTCCGATCGGCTACGTCCACAATTCACTCTCCAATAATACTGACCCATCGTCACGCCAACTGGAGGTAGAAAAACTGCAATTCGTACATAACACCTAAAGCTCGTTGCTGCGATCCAACTAAACCTCTTATCTTAATCTATATCACTTACAAGTGTGTGGTCATTGACCCAGAAAAAAGTTATTGCCGAATCCTGTGTGTGCTAATATATACACATGCCAATGTTTATCAGTACAACTTCTGTATAACGGTATATTGATTATTAGCGAAGTCCGTAACTGTGCAATTCATTCACATATAACGCTGGCTATAAGGCATGTTGGTGTCATGTGCTACAACTTAATACGGAAGTCCCTAAGCTGCGAAATTCTCATCTTACCATGTCAGAGATCGAAATCTATCGAGAACACTTCGAAATATGGCAGATAGATGTTGTTTGGAAATATCCTGTTATTAAAAAACTACACTTTCCGAGCGGGAATACGATAACACTGAACAATTGGCGCTGGCTCGTTTCAGCGAGTAGCAGGACGAGGATAACTATTCGACGGAGAAGGAAACAGAAAATGCAGCAGTTCAGAACACAAGATTCAACGCTAGACATTTGCTGAAATTTTGCAGAACAACTTCAGATTCGACGTCGGACTGGTTGACTGCAGGAATCCGTTGTACACATCTTCAACAGAACTTACGACTGCTATCTAACCTACCCTGGAAAACGTCCATGAAATTCTCTAGCAGTATCAAAATGTTCATACTCTCCTACTGACGGTAAAACATGTGCAGCGTCCTCCTTCTTACACCTACCCCCATCACTATACTGGGTCACTCGAATTTGGGGTGGATCCTACTCATTCCCAAGTAATAAGTTATTGGATATGTAACTCCTGTGGCGAGATGCACTCTCGCCAAATCCGTCGGTTCAGATGAGCCACTTATCACAAATGTGGCAAATCAATTTGTGCTAGTCTACGTCATCATCATCATCATCGACAGCATGACATCAGTGTTCAACACCGATGCTTCACTGCCGTACAACCATGACTTATTTGAAAGCCTTATTGTAAAGAAAAGAATAAAGGTGGATGGGGGAGGGACTTGGTGCCATCTTAACACAATCATTCCGAGGTGCCTACACCTCCAGACATTCAACAGTGAGGATCACGCGGTCCCCATCCTGGGAGCCGAGCAACACCGATCTCCTTCATACTCCCCTGCCAAGTCAAGGGTTGGCCACCTCTGTTCACGTCACTCTGAGTTGGGCATGGAAAACAGCACTCTTTTCGGCAACACATGTCCCACCCAACGCAGCTTCTGGTGCTGGACACATTCTTCAATGGAAGTACCCGTTACATAACCGAAAACACGCTTTCTAACTGCCTCGTTACGGATTCGCTGACACCAACCTACACGAGTTATGGTTCTGAGACAACGATTGTCGAACACCTGAAGACGTCTCAGGTCCGCTGCTCGAATAGGCCAAGTCTCACAGCCATACAACAAAACAGCCCGTACTGTAGCTTGATACACACGTCCCTTCAGATTCAGGGATAAACCATTCTGACGCCATAGGTGTCTCAAGTTAGCAATCGCAGCCCGAGCCTTGCAGATTCGTGCATTCACCGCATCTGCTACACTACAATCAGAACTAATACAACTTCCAAGATACGTGAAACGCTCCACAACTTCCAGTACCTCTACCTGGATTGTAAGTGGCGTGTTTAGTGACTGCACGTCCACGCGTATGACCTTACACTTTGTGGGTGCAAAGTGCATACCAAAGGACGGGACGACTTTGATCAGTTCATCCACTTCTTCTCCACTTGGAACAAGAGAACGATGTCGTCTGCATATTCCAGATCGACAAGGTTCTCTTCACCGGCTATTTGAACATTAGGGTTTTGCAGACCCTGCAGCGTTCGTCTCATTATTTGATCGATCACAAAGTTAAAAAGGAATGTTACAAAGTTGCAAAGTTAAAAAGTCTACGAGCAAATAAAGAAGACGAACTACCGGATTAACTGGCTCGAATAGCCAGCAACTCCGTTATGCAGTGCATTTTCCACTTCACCATTGGCGGTAATATTCACCATTAGCGCATTGTGGATCCTGATCGGTCCTGTTAATACAACTTCGCGAAGCCGTCTCGAACGCTCCACTGACATGACTACATGTAGTAATCCAGATCTCGGTTCACGTCGACCAATAAACAATCCATCTTCATAAGCATCCGGGAAAAATCCTCCTGGTAATTTTCTTGTTCCGAACTCCGGCTCATTATTCATGAAGGATATCGACATTTTACCTCAATGGTATGTCGGCAATGTGGTATTATCAGACCTCACTCTGAAACACTCCAAACCTGCTAGGGGTGTGTAAGTTCCCTTGGTAGGACCGACAATTTTCGTTAACGACGAGAATCGGCCAAGCTTTGGATGCCCGCTTGTTTCGTTCCACTGTACTTCCAAGAACAAGTAACGGGAGCGTATTGGGTAAGTAATTAAAAAGAACAGTTTCAAATCAGACGAATCTCTCTCCCGCACTGGATAGTGAGACTACGATAGATGAAATGATCACACTCCATTGGTTGCACCCGCTTGATCACGAGCGCTATATGCCCATCGAACGACTCCCTTGAAGGGCTCTTTTCACACAAGCACGCCGAGAGAGGAAACAAGCCAAGGCAGTGAAGTATGAAAGTCACTATCAACAAACTCAGCCGCGCTAGTCATTGGCGGTGGAGGAACACCGAGACAAGACATATCAGTGGTTAGAGCCATTATCAGACATGGACGAGTCGCGTTCTTAATAGCGCTCGTGCATCGGAGCTGTTGCCTTTAATACACAGTTTTCTTCCAAATCATCGTAATTGAAAGTTCAGTGACGCCCGTGCATTTGCGCTTCAATTATATCAGCTACTGACTCCAATGCTCAGCTATCTACCCTACCTCATCGGCGAACGAGGCTGTGGCAACTTGCTGTAAGGCAAGTACGCGGTTTTTACAGCTGTTGATGACGATGATGCCGAATTGATACCGAAAGCCGGGTGCATGCCACACTACTTATGTGTTGCGCCCCATTTCGCAGCTTGAACGGAGCCACTGTGTAGTCCTACCATCAGGAAGTTTTATACGGTTCAACAGTCGAAGGTGTGCAATGCGTTTCATATGGCTTACTTAGAAAGGAAGCTGGTTTGAGATCGTTTTCTTCTGTCAATAAGAAGACATCTCCAACACTACTGATGTGAAAGTGGTCTACTTCGTAATAGGCGTTGGCTGTTGCCATCTACTCACAGCAGTGACGCATCTGCAATCAGACGGTCTAGCTGAGAATTTCATGCGCGTTGTTAGTAGCGTGATATACCTCATCAATTTATCAATACTGCTGTAGATGGAACGTGAGGTGGACGGCTTCCGACGCTGTATCGTCACCCTACTTGTACTATCGTGGGTCAGACATCTCCAAAGCTGTAGAGAACTCCGCATACAAATCCTTAGTGTCTGGAATAGGCTGACTCAGCGTTCCAATGGGATACTAACCTACGGCACGCGACTGGTATATTACTGGATCGGTTGGGAAATCAAGCCCGAACTCTACATATGGACTACTACTGTCTAGGCTTGAGCAGCCTAGCAACATCTCAACTCTCGAACTTCTTTCAAATGGTACGGCAAGGACCTCTTCAAATTGATGTCATTACACCATTTAACGCAGCTGAGACCGACAATCTTGTGTTTTTACCATGTTGTGAGCTGTTGAGGACAAGCTGCCGATCAAACACCCAGCAACTATGAAGATCTGTTATCTAAGGTGTAGTGTACGCCTCGGTTGAAACCAAACTGTTTTTGGGAACCTGTTCTACTTATAATCGTGTGACTACTGACCTCGAAAAAGGAGACTACAGAACAGTGTGTGTGTGCCAGTGTACATAAGTTTATCTGCCAATAAGATACTTGTATAACAATGTATTGATCACTGGTGAACTCCGTAGTTTCCGTGGAGAATCACACATGCACAGGTCTTAACCAGGTCCCGTTTAGACATTTCTCAACCAACCGTTTCGATGATGAGACGAAATGTGGGAGGGCACTTGTGAGACCCAGCTCTAGAAGTAGGCAGTAACCGACGAGGAAAGGTTCTTAGTTAAGTCATAAAACAAGCGGATTCAGATTCAACCCTAAATTTCCGACAGTCCATTTCAACTATTACCTGTGTCTTGAGGATAGAACGCAGCTCGGATTACTTGCAACCAGTTTTGGTATACTTAAGAAGCCACATGCCGTTATTTTTTATCAACCCGATTAGGTTGGCTCAAGGAACCCATGTAGTGAAGTGCCTAGTTAATGCAGGACAACGCTTGTATTTCGTGCGTGCTACTGATTAGGCAATAAAACAGAAGTTACGGTAAGTGCAAGCACGTGTGCTTTAACAGTACGTCAACAAACGAAGGGAAGTGTCTATTACGGAGCGGAAGGTTGAACAAATTACAAAAAATCGTTCAGCTGTAACACCATTCCGGCGCCTAGCTGCCATGCCACCCGAAATAAACACAAGGGCTGGGGTACTGCCAGGCTGGCCAAGCATAGACAGGGGAAGTCGAGAGGGAGAGGTCGACTTCGAACCATGGACCTTCCGGTCAGTAAATTCGCGCTCAAACCACTGAGTCATCTCGCTCCAGAGGCTGGTGTGGCAGTGGACAGAACTTGGATGCCTCGTAGCCTTCGGAGTACGTTCAAACTTGAGAGAAGTGACTGCATGTAGCTGAGAAAGTAGTGTAGACTACCTTACTTGCGGAATTCATTCAACCTACAGTCTAACAGGTCTGAATGAATATCCCCCACACACACACAGAAAAGGTAGGTCATCAGTTCGGATGAGACATGCCAGTGCTTCCAACTGGGACTACCTATAAGCCACCTAGCCGTTGTGGCGATAAACCTGGTGAAGTACCAACCGAACGTACGTTCTTCATCAAATGTTGGAGGAACAGGACGGCTCCAGACGATCTCACCGTCATTCTAGTTGGAGAGCTCTACTTCACGAGGCAACTATCGAGAGTGTCAAATACGTACCCAAAGTTTCCTGTGAGGTCTTGTCCGTGACGATCAATTCCAAAAGTTCCATTCTTTCCACAGGTGAGAAGTAATGCATACCAACGACCTGAACACCAACAGACACATGAAACGTGAATTAAGGAATGGAGAAACAAATATGCACAAGCCCCGTGAAAAATACAAGAACAGTTAAGACGCAAATAGTTAACTCAAATAGATTGTAGGTTTCTAAGCAAATGTCTACCGTCACTTCTACACAGCAGGTGTGAAGCAATCCGGTGAGAGTGCCAGTGCCCGGTTACTGGCGGACTTCTGCGTCAAGCACAGAACGCAGCCTCACCTACAACGGGAATCACGATTGCAAGCCCAGCAAGTCAAAACATGCAACCGACTGTTCCAGATAGAACTACCGCGCAATTTTTTGCCGTTCCGTCCAAGTGCAGTTTTAGACCTGAAGTTATACTCGAACTGAATACAGCAGCGAAGCAGAGATTTAAGAAACACCTTAACCCAGCGAGAAGGTCATATTGCTCTGTCCTTCGTGCAAGACTCTTTGCTTTTATTAACAGGGATCGATAGGCACTAATACACTGGTGTCATAGATGAGGCCATGAATGTTGCAGTAAACGAGTGTTCAGAACAGACGACCCGAACACAAAACGTCTTGGAAAGGAAAGGGTTCCGATAACGAATAGATAGAGTGCTCGGGTTTAGTTGAGGCCACTTAGCAGTGGGGCTAACCAAGATGCTGAGGTATCCTAGCACAGTTCGTACCTCAGGATCAGGAATATGTCTTGGAAGTTCAGCAACGCAAATGGATACATTTTACTTTTACATTGCCGGTTAGTATCTAGCCACGAAGTGAGACTAAATCGAACTAGCCCAGCTAGGCAACCTGGATTGCAACGAAGCGAACAACAGACGTGCTTGGATGGGTTTCTAGACACGTAATTTGAAAGTACAAGTTGTCTGGAGTGACAGGGTTTTCAACGAAATCGCCAAAATAATTCAAACCAAGTTCATGTTTATGTTCAAGCCTAAGCTGGAAGGCTTATGTGCATTTTGTTTAGAGATTGTCTAGCTTTCCAGGGGTGGGAGGAACAAGGAGAGAGTACATATTGACAAAATTCAGGTTATTTGCTGCGCCTTTCACGCTTTCCTAACTTGATGTCATGTATACATTCCAGTGCATGGTCAGTAGGAAAGAGTTATCCGGGAACACGGGTTCTTTAACATGTAAAAGGTAACCACTGTGACCGTTATATAAATTAACTAATAATTCAACTGCGCACTGACGATGTCTCCTCGACTGGGGGACGAAACCTTTGCCAACCAATCGCCAAGCTCGGCGAACAGATCAACTGCCATCCGATCAACCACCAGTAACTAATAAAAAAGATACTGACGTACTTGCCCTTCAGGTCCAGACTACGTTTGGGGGAAACAACTTATCAAAGAACGAGCCACAATCCCCAGGTACTCGGAAACTCGGAAGGATGGTGTCTGGCTCAGAATTTCACCCATCCTCACGCTAGGTAATGCGATTTTGCTGTTGTCGAATACAGAGAAAAGCTTGTAAGGGTTTAACAAGACGGACCTGATCAGCAGAAATCCTGAAACGCCTGAGATGGACGGACTTTTGTAACATAAGGGGAACCGTTTTCCTATAGTTGGAGAATTGCAGATGTTCCATTCAGTTGTTGGACAGATATTTGTCACCACTAACACAAATCCCTGGAATGTAAAGCTCTGTGATAGAATAACGTTTAATTCATAAGAACAATGATAAGATAAAAACAACGCGGCATCATGATCAGCGTTAATCTGTACAAGTTCAAACCGTTCAGTCGATGCAGTGCGAACGAGGTGCGGTGCGGTTGCTACCACAACCTGATGGATAAGCCGCTTCGGATATTCGCATAGCTATCGATCGCAAAATGTGCGATTCGATTAGTGTGCTGCTGATCTCTTTGTTCGCCAAAGGAATACTTGGAGTTTGTTCTCAAACAGTCTGCCCCAGATGACGAGTTACGGTTTGCATACTGCACTCGTACAAAAAGGTCCCAGATGTGTCGGTGAATAAAGAAATAGTAGTTATTCAGCTCCTTGCTAACTAGACGAGGCGCATACAAAGGTAAACGGACTGTTGATTGTGGTCAAATTTTAGTACATAGTGGCACTATGTTGGTGCGTATATATATATATATATATATATATATATATATATATATATATATATATATATATATATATATATATATATATATATATATATATATATATATATATCATAAGAGAGTGAAAACACGCAGAATACCATAGTCCCATGAAGCATAAGTTGTTTAGAGACTGGTACATAGGTCACATAGTGGTCTGAGTGGAGAAAGTTCGTTGAAATAGTCAGATGTAGTGTATTTTAAAAATACATATGTCTGCCTCATTTAAGAGTAAGGATCCATACACAGTTGAAATTGAGCCTAACGAAACCCACACGCAGTTTCTGAATCCATATGAACTGCACAAATCAAGACAATGCGAGTATGCCAAACCCTGATATTGTCAAAACGTAAAATGTTTTTAAAGGTGATGTGCCAACGTAGATTTATTTCTACTCCTCAAGATTGTCATCGGTAGCCGATGGTGGTCACTGGCAACAAATGCTAATGAGATCAACTGATCAATGGTTCATTTCAATGGATCGTAACCACTGACACTTGGAAAAGGTAACATATTGGAGTAAAAATGCATGAGAATTAGGAGCATACAGGATGCCACCGAAGTGAGCTGATAAATTATGGCAGCTACTTTCTTGAGGGGCTATCCGGATAATGCTTGAGGACACAGTATAAAATTAGAAGGAATGTCTGCTTAGGACCGCATGTAATGCGATAACGAGCATATCGACCGGGGCATCAGTATAGATGGGTTTATACCGACTGGCTCCTCATCTGACAATGCTGCGTGGAGATTTGATGACAGTTTTAGGGACGACGCAGAGTAACTAACTCCTTTCCGTTACTGTATGTACTTTCAAAAGGGGTTTGCTTACTTACTATCACAATGCGTCCACATATGCCGCCTGCCCCAGAAAGTCATGGTTGGTACTTTTTATCACTCAGACAGTAGCTCACGGCAAAGACAAACCACATATGGATAATAGAAGCATAGAAAATCCACAGAAAAACACCGATACCTACACGTGTAAGTCAAGTAGGCTGAAGAGGCGAATGTTAGCTGGAATCATGATAACAATTGGATATCGTAAGGAGCTGAAAAAACGAAAAATGCTTCAAGAAGAGAACGGAGAAAACAGTCAGGTGAGGGAATGACGTGGGCGAGATCAGATGCGAAGAGACGAGCTACCTGAACAAATAAATTGGGAAGTGGATCAGGAGGTGAGTGTTCCGAATAACATTTGCTGCGATAGTACCGAAAGAATTAATAAAATGAAACCAAGTTCAGATGGTCGGAAAAGGTGTGAAGGTCAGAGTAGGGAAAACAATGAGGCGCACAAATTTCCATTCAACTTGATCAAGGAGTGAAAAATGAAGGACGTGGTAAAAATACTTCACGGTGAAGTGAATTCGCGATTTATAGATCTAGAACCTTTGGAAGGAAGGAATTATCCTCTGTAGATACAATATAGACCCAATTTTATTGGCAACCAAGCTACTACCTGACATGGAAGACCCGGAGAAGATAGCTACGGAACGGTAAGCCATGGAGAGAGGAAGTCGGAAAAATTCAATACAGGACTAGAGTCAATGGAGCGTGCATGGTGGTGCAACAGTGAGCACAGAGGGAGACATGTGGGAATTCGAAAAGACTGAACGTAACTACATTTGATAAAACCCAATCATGAGCCATGACAAGGTCGGCCTTCAATGATCCGATCGCCCACACATGGTCGCCATTCATCTGAGAGGCAGCAGATAACATCTACTTAGTTGGTTCAAAGTCAGACCAAAATCCAGTAGAAAACAACGTGGCGGAACGGTTGCGTGCAGGCGATTCCAAATTATACAAAACTGAAAATCACGCGATAGTGGCAAAAGTGATTGCGGAATTCTCGACAAATTTGACCAAATATGACAGGGTGAGGAATTCTCCTTATAACTGTCCATCGACGTAACACGTTCTTCATTGGACTTGTTTAAGCTGCAATAGCTTTTCGCATCTTCAGACTACTTGCTGTGCGGATCCCACAGATCTACCAGTTTGATTACAAAAGTTCGTACGTATTCCGTAACTGGCCTAGTTTAGGTAGACTTATTTCAATTTTAAAGATCGTGAATAGAGAATGGACGGAGATATGTAGGTAAATAAACCATATCATATGAGCATAAATAAAATAAATATATCATTCAGCTGTAACACCCTTCCGGTGCCTAGCTGCGATGCCATCCGAAGGAGGCACGAGGGCTGGGATACTGCCAAGTTGCCCAAGCTTAGATAGGATAAGTCGAGAGGCAGAGATCGGGCTCGAACCACGGATCTTCTAGTCAGTAAATCCGCGCTCTATTTACTTGGGCCATCTCGCCCCATCGCATATACCATAGAACAAGAATAACAATTACCTTGTCTGGCCGCTTGCTGACGGCAGCAATCTGATGGATTGGGAGAGCGGACGTGTTGCTGGCGAAAACAGCATGCGGAGGAAGAATGGCTTCAATCTCTTTCAGCACACGATGCTTCACGTTCAAATCTTCAAACACGGCCTCGATAACCAGATCAACATTCTTCAGTGAATCCATGTCACAAGTACTGGTAAGTAGGGTGAATGTCTGCATGAGTAATGGGAACAGTAGAGTGAAGAATCGGACTGAATTGGTGTACGCAGTGATAGGAGACGACAATAAAAAGGAAGCAGATGAAAGTATAAAGTCAGGAGCGCATACATATGAGGAAACCGAAGCATCGAGGGGTGGGGGCCAGAAAAAGAGCTGTACACCATTCCGCCTATCCATACCATTGCTCTAGTCACGGACACTGACTGTCACCACACAAGCTTGGGTTGTACTCGAGTCATCTGTATTTTCTGTAGCTTGGTTTCCGTCGGTGATCAACACAAAAACAACCATCCACATACACCTGCGTTTACTAACATTCATTGCGATCTTTGTGGATGCAAGCAAGCCACCAAATCAATCCACATCGTGGAACATCATCAAACGTTAACCAGAGGTCACCAGCACAAAAACACAGTCCAGCTGTAGCACCCTTTCGGTGCCTAACTGCCATGCCACCCGAAGGTTGCACGAGGGCTGGGATCATCATCATCATCATTGTCCGCTGTAAGAACCGCGTACTCGTCGCACACTGATTGTAGCTGCCGCAGTTTCGTTCACCGATGATTTGNGGTAGCTGCGCATTGCACGCGCGAGCTGGTAAATTGGTGCATAAATCCAGCACTGTCAGTGGGCTGTCAAGTGGGGGGGGTGGGGTGGAAAAGGAGCTATGAATTGAAGGCAATAGCTTTGATGCACGAGCGCCATTGAGGGAGCGACTGGGCCATGTGTGATAATGTCTCTAGCCATTGATGTGGCCCGTCTCAGGGTTGGGATACTGCCAGGTTGCCCAAGCTTAGACAGGGGAAGTCGAGAGACAGAGGTCGGGTTCGAACCTAGGACCTTTCGGTCAACAAATTCGCGCTCTAACCACTTGGGCCATCTGGCCGCCACCAGCACAAAAGCAAGTGTTAGCTATAGAACTTTCCAACAGGGCAACCAATAAACCTCCACCTGTAAAGACCATATAGTAAGTAAATTACCAAGATGGGAGAGGGACAGGTTGCTGGGATACTTCAAGCACCCCGAGTTACACTAAGGGATGAAAAGCAACAGTCTAAAACATCACTGTCATCTTGAAACAGTGGGTCCCCTTCACCAATGTCAGTAGCACAGCCAAAACCCATAGGACGCGATATGTTGGCACTACATTTATTTTCATTATTCGAAACCACTTGCAAGCATTTACGAGACGCACGCATAGCAACGAGCAATGGGTTTGCAAGAGGAAAGGTGCAAGACCAATTCCAGGGAAGGCATCGTCATCATCGATAGCATGACATCAGTGTTCAACACCGATGCTTTACTGTGGTATGGAAGGCACCAGTTTCTGATCAATACACACACAAACCAGGCCGTTTATTGTTAGTTTTGTTGAATGCCCGTCCTTCTGGGGTATAACTGCAGAACAAGATCGAAAATGAACCGTATGCGTCACTTTCGTATTAAACAATCGATGAAGTCAGAGTCTATTAGGACAATCGTACTGCGTGCGTCTGTCTGGTTGGCTTGTACCAAACTTTTATGAGTTCTGTCAGTTTCTGAGAGAGTTCGTTATTAGACACTTTCCATCTGAGCCACCATACTTTAACCAACTCTTCCTGTTTTGCGCTCAATTACGTTTCACATAAGAGACTAACAAGTTGAGGCGAACCAACTGGCTCAGGAGACAATTCAGGTGCTGCATCTCTCCTCCAACCCTATATGAGGAAACGGTCTTTCTCATTGAAAGATCAGGTAGGCTATTTTATGTGATATTGTCTTCTGAAAATCCACTAGTGATTTATTTGGCCCATCGTCCAACATCCGAAAGGTCGACTGGTTTTCAATCCAAATAAATTACTGTAATGTACCAATTTCCAAACAAACTTCACTTCTAGAATCGACAAAGATTCATTCTCGGGGCTTACGTTTCGTGGAAAACAGAAAGTCCAGGCACTGATACAAAGTTACAACGGACCGGATGAATTAACTTTACGGGCGAATTCGGGTTCGCGGAACGTAATTTGGAGATCCTTGCTCCAGGTAGATACATACGTTCGATGGAAACACATACCTTCTCCGAGTCCATCAAGGTCATTTTCTTCCGCTTCACTAGCTTAGCAAAATTAGCCTGAATATACTCTTCTCCTCGAGCCAGGTTGGGCGTAGAAACGTCCTTCATGACTGTAGGTATACCGCGTTGAATGCTAACTTGGGCAATGCCTGCTCCCATCAGACCAGCGCCCAGGACACCCAGACGTCTGAATAACAACAGTAATCATAGAAGTAGGTAGAGCAGAAGCAGGTTAACTGTATCTTGTTGGAGCATACAATCCAAAGCAAACTTTCTAAAACGAAAGTAATAAAAACCTGACACGGTACATACATGTTGTACACACTGCAGCCGACTATGAGGAGGTTCATTTGCGATTGGGGTTGACGTGGATACGGTGGACAATTTGTAATATATATATATATATATACTTCCCAGTCGACACGCACGGGAAACAGTCTTATTATGTTGCACGAACCAGTTAAATCGTGCATGCCAAAATAAGGCATGTTTTCGGCGTTTTGCCAGTTAAATTTTTTAGGAAGATAGCGAGAAAGCCTCGCACGAGAGGATGACTTCCACGGCCACAATCTTTTGAAGAAAAATAAACATATCTTATTCTATCACAAATACTGCTTACTGTTTTGCCCATCAGAGTTCCTAGAATAAAAAACAACCTTTTTAACCTTGAAGCACTTCAGGAGCTGTCTCGGCAGCGATCCAATGCAAGGGATATCATTATCGGACATAGGTTAACGGAATGATTGTGTGGTTTTATGTGGTCGTTGAAGTTCTGACAAACAGTCTTTTTGAACAAAGGAAAAGAGTACATAGTTTAGGCATCAATTAGCAGGATGCAAGTACTACTTACAAGGTCAAGTTAAAAAGCCTGAGACAGATTGTCAATGACCTGTTGACTCAAGCGCACAAACAACCGACGAGTTGTAGCAAAAATGATATACCAACGGGAAAACACGGGGCTGGGGGAAATTGAACCAGCTTAAAGCAAGATTAGTGTTCCACTCAAAGATTTGTCATCACGACTTTTCAAAACTGAAGATCACACCAACACACCAGCAACCAGAACCCGTTCGCCTAAAAGTCTAGGAGTAGGAACGAATGAGGAAATGGCCTTCCATAAAATCCACCAAGTAGCAACCAGTGTTCCTCTGGGAGTGCCTTCCTGAACCCATGGGGCGTGTTTAATGTCCCATGTTTTGATCTGTCCCTAAGATCTATGGGAAATTTAACGGGCAACCGACCATGCTAAAAGAGAAAAGCTCTCAAAAGGTCAAGAGTTAAACAAAACATTGAAAACTCGATAAGCCCAAGCGAATACGGTCGTTTTGTGAGAAACAATGGTTAACGTTGCAGCAGCCCTGCACAACTGCGCAGGTTTACAATATAATAACATTAACAGTCTCGCTGTAACGCCATTTCGATGCCCACTACTGTGTCAATCAAGGGGAGAACAAGATCAGAGAATACCAGGTTGCCCATGCTTAGACAGGAGCATTCGGGATGTGGTTGGGTTCGAACAACGGATTTTCCGGTCAATGAGTTCGCCCTTGACCACTGAGCTACCTGGAGCTGAACGGTGATAGCGAATAGAGAGGACCATAGATAGGCTATATATGGCAACATAGGCCACACAGATCTTCGCCTCTATAGCTAAGTGGGCACATGAGCAAACAAACCAAGAAGTAGCAAATCATCTCAACCTATAAAAACAAATTCTACTTACTTTACTGGTTGTTTAGGTGCTGGTACACGCTGTTTCTTACATTCCGTATGGCCAAGGAAAAGACCAATAAGCGATTTACATTCGTTGGTCATTGCCAGCTCTCCGAATACTTTCGACTCCAAGTCGTAGCCAACTTTTGGTCCCATTTTCACAGAAGTTTCGAAAACCTGCGTGAATCAGCAGACAGAATAAAGGGAACTATGAAAACTACAAGTCCCAAGTAAACCATTTATGTTGGTACAGCATCCGTGGAAATGACAGCACACGTCAGCTTAGGTCTGCACTCACGCATCACCTCCCTATGCGCAGGCGAGAAGGTAAGAGCGATCACTGGAAGCTACCAGTAAGTTACCTGTAAACAAGCGGTGTGGTCAGCATAAATATCAGTCGCAAAGTACATGCATGTGGAATAGTATGCGCATGGACATACAGAGCCTTGGTGTTCGATTCGGTTTGGCTGATCAGTTCTTCTCAACACGCTTGCGCAGCAGAGTACGCACCGGAAATTGGGAATCGTAAAAAATCGTTCAGCTGTAGATGAAGAGGTCGGGTTAGAACCATATAGACCTTCCGGTCAGTAAATTTGCATTCTAGCCACTGAGCCATCTCGCCCCCAAGCGCGAGTATTAACATAAAAGCTGACCAGGTCACCCACTCCTTCATGTGCTTCACACCAACAAAATGTAACGTCGTGCAGAGGAACGTTCAGTCTTTGCACATGCCATTAAGGATCCGAGGAGTAACGTCGGAGGTTGTGGAACGCTATACCTATGGAAGCTGGCCCATGTCAGTGACGTTCACGTCGTCAGTTTCTATCTAAATAGTTTGGGCAAATGTTGGAGGTGCATGTGGTACGCTGGCACCAAGTACCCCTATCTGTCCCGTGTTTTCTTGTTTCCTCATCTTTGTTCAAATAAACTGATATGGTTGTACGGCACTGATGCACCAATGTTCTGATCTGAGGTTGCTTTACATGTGGATGTTCAACCCCACTCAAGATCATACGACTAGTCCATGAAAACCCGAAATCCTAGTCAACCACATACAGGCCACCGAAGGTGACGAATAACGACTCAAAAAAATCACGAGGACGAGATGATCGGTGGGAAAGCAGACTATTGACGGGGGTTAGCTGAGACTTGCGTATCGAGACTGAAAGGGACTTAGGACAATCCCGCCTATTGAGAGTATGGTTCTTTAACGAAAAAGTTCAAGGTACCGGGAATAAGCACCTTTGCACTGTAAGCTTATCTGACAACATGTTTGTGTGCGTATTTCTCGTACACTAAATCTGTTTATTTTTGTGACATTCTATGAGCATAGCAATCTGGCGACAAGTGAGGTATGTCATTGAGTAGCGGCATACCATTTCTGTTTGATGAAGCGTTGACGACAGAAATTCTGAGCAAAGGGAAACAAGACGATGAAGCATTCACCCCAGGGCTGTCACTTGTGTAGTCTGCATTCCAATCATCTAGCATACTGAGCCTCCAGGTGTTATCAGATAGTCGTTCAGCCGTGACACCCATTCGGTGCCTAGCTGCCATGTCACCAAAATGAAGCACGAGGGCTGATATACTGCCAGGTTCCCGAAGCCTGAATAGGGAAGTCGACAGGCTGAGGTCGGTAAATTCGCGCTTTAATTGCTGAGCCATCTCGCCCCCAGACCTCACCTCGCTTGATATCAGTACTTCGTGAGACATATGGTGGTTTTTGCCGCGACCCTCCCTAAAGAGAATTTGGTGCAAGTATGCCACAGGAATAGCCCGTGTAAGGAAGGCCCAAGTAGTGAGAGCAAAGTGAAGGCTGGTGGAAAGAGACGGATGTCCTAATGGGAGCGCCAACAAGGAAACAGATGTGTTTAAAAAATAACTGATTTGAGAACTTAAAGAGACCTGAACGGACCGCTCATTTACTCTCGAGAGTTGATTCGATATCCAAACCATGGAAATATTTGCATACCATAAAAGTGACACGGTAAAACTGATTATTAGTCGCCGAAATTCCACTGCTTCATGTTTCCGCCACGTAACAGGAAGGAACAAACCTGCAATTGTTTACCAGACGCCCCTGAAACGACTACATCCTAGTCGGTTCCAATTATTTTACAATTGGACGGTAGTCAGTAGTTTCGCATCTAGGAAGAAACAAACCTGCAATTGTTTACCAGACGCCTCTGAAACGACGACATCCTAGTCGGTTCCAATTATTTTCCAATTGGACGGTAGTCAGTAGTTTCGCATCTCAGAAGCAGAGCTATTTCGAATTCGAAACCGCGAAGCATATAAGAAACACACATCCAGGAAGTAAAACTATAAATGCGGATGTTTGATTGTACAGCGACTGGAAGAAGCACGAAGTGGCTGAAACATACCATGAATTCGACCAGTATTGGTACTTACATCTACCAGTTTCATAGGTGCAGGGTAAAGACCATGGGACTGCTTCATCACTTTGTTCCTTGCCTGTTTGAAAAATAGCTTTCTGAGTGGCTCGTAGTCCAATGCTTTCCAGAGGATACCTTGAAGGCGTGCGGAAACAACAATATAAGCGGGTGTTTGACAGTTAGAACACGGAATAGTACATAGTAAAGTTAGTGTAAAAGAAAGGCGGCTTTGTATGACCTTGTACAGGTATCTACATAAAGACGATGCAAAAGAAAAGATGGATCCCTATGAATGAAAATCAAACCCATAACACCTCGCGTTTTGCACGAGTGCTCCGCCCAGAGTGGCTTAGTTAGTTGGACAGGCATCGCGTCCGTTCAAAAGCGTGTTTCCTCGACCGTCTTATGTAAACATGGATTCCGTGCAAAACAAACTAAAGACAACTTCGGACACCAATGCCCGTCTATTCGGTATGCACTAACCATTAAAACAGTTATTAGGACCTGCCGCTTGGTTTCGAGCACAAGATCAGTGAACAACAAGTTACATGTACAACCAATGTGCCTGATTATCTGCACGATGAAGGGCATTCCACACTTGGTGAATAGTAGACGATTATCTGGATAACTATGACAAGCAAACAAACATGTCCCACTACTGGCATTGAAAGATGCGCGATACATAGGAAGTAAATCACAGAGCACACGAATAAAACCGATTATCATTGTCAAAAGACAACAGTCACGTGAAGGTGAGCATCGGTGTATCGAATAGAGACTATCGACCTGACGCCTTCAGTCTGCCGATCACCGACCCAGTTCGCACAACCGACGGATGTCGATTAGGTGCGAAAATTGGCCCACTCAGCTGTTGACTTACTCGAAAAAACTGGGTGTTCGGGGACAGTTTGATTGTTTATTTCAAGCAGTTATTCATCACAGTAGCGGATCTGACCATAAAGAAATAAGCTTGAAATTTGTGATGACCACTAACATCACCGGGCTTGCCACATATTCCTTTATAACGTTTCTCACGCCAGTGTCTAGACACTACCGCTTTCAAAGTAGGGTAAACAAAAGACCGGTCGAGTATGTATATAGACACTGGAGGTGTGTCAATCCCCACTCAGCAAAAAGGATGGAAGTACCGATAGAGGACTAGTGGGCATATGTTGGGGCTTCCCACCAACCCGAATCTGGAACCCACAATTGAAATACAATGCCACACGCAATCATGCTATTCGGTCAACTTCCATGTTGAGAGCTAAACCTGTGATAAACTCTGTGAGATTCGTAGATCGTCCTAGTGTATCCTCATCACACCGTTTTGCTATGCTCGTCCCTTGCAATTTTGCAAGAGCAGATATAAACAGAATGCGGTAACTTCTTGCGTGTGATAATCAAATGGTTTGTCCTTCTCAGTAGTGGCTAAAGGGCGCTTCATATAGGTATGCATGTCCCTTATAGGACATGTCTTGTTGCCTTCTTGGAGTTTTGGGTCACGAAGATCTCGTGTGGTAGGAATTTTTCATTCGCTAAATTAACTTTTTTCCAGAGATTGCTGCATGACGGTTGCTTATTGGGGAGAACTATTGTGTCTAGTTTTCAAACTGATGACTATAAGACCGGATAGTTTCGGCATTTCACCTGATCCAATGAAAAAGCCGGTCAGAGAACAGAAACAGCTGTTGGCTTCTGTCTAATCGACACAATCGAATGTTACACGTACAAACATGAGGCTTGTTACCCTAATCCAACATACCCAAACACTAGGGAGCAACTTCACTTTCATATGCATTTCTAATATAAGGTTCAGAGTGGATTTGCAATAAGAGTTGTAAGTAAACAGCAGACTTCGTGTGCATCTCAATCGAATATTACAGAGCTCCGCTGAACGAAAATCGTTCTGGTGTTGCTTTCTTGGGGCGCACAGCACGCCATGCAACCAAAACACGACAACCCCAGGCGTAGGTAGCAGCGTTCAAAGGTAAAACGCGAACTTCAACCAGGGACCCATTAATCAATAGCTACCGTCTTAATCTCGACTACTTCAGGCGGGACAAACCATTCACATCGAAGTTGAGGTTTACACATAGACAATAGACGGCAGCACAGTAATACTAATGTGTGACCCTAAACCAAGCACAGCATGGGTCAAACAGAAAGTACCAACAGCTTGAGATGCTGTTCACAGATCTGTTAGGTTTGGCTTGAGTGAGCAGTGACCACAGGATAGCACTGGAACAAAAAAGGCTACCGATATCTGACGATTATGTCAATCAGATGACACTGAATTAGAGATAACAAAACAGCTATGAAGGAAATAAGATGTTGAAACAAATAACCTCAAAAAAGCAAATTTACTTACGCTGAACTACTGAGCGCGGAGCTTTGGTTGCTTTTAGGTTTCCGTTAGCCAGATTTCTGAAAACAACGGAATTAATGGTGACTGAATGTATCCATGGCCGTTCGTGAATTAATCAACATTTGACGTAATGTCTTAGTCTCGGAAAACCTACTCTGCGCACGACACTGCGATCGATTCGAGGTAGGCCATGTTATTTTCAGTTGGGGAAGCGACTCCGGGTCCAAGGGGTTTGATCACCTGGTGAACGAGGCCCATTCGTTTTGCCTGTGAAGCAGGTACCATGGACCCTGTTAGTGCTAGTTGCAACACTTGATCTATCCCGCAGCAAGTTGCCAATAAACGTTGTGTCCCTCCCGCACCGGGAATTAGTCCAAGTTTCACTTCAGGAGCACCGAGTTGTGTTTGTTTCGTATCCATCGCGATTCGGTAGTGACAGGCAAGAGCCATTTCCAGCCCGCCACCAAGGCAGCTACCCATGATAGCCGCCACCACGGGCTTCTTGCTACTTTCGATTTGCTGGAAAGCCATTTGCCCTTCCCTGGTCACAGAAAAGAAACAGAATGGAGGTGTAAGAATGCAGCACAGGCTGAGGTCATCCTGAGATTCTGAAGATATACCGTATAAACGATTTACTAACCCACGGGCGCTTAGCAAGAACCGGACAAGGAATATACATTCTGCTAATAACTGTGCCAAAGTTGTACAGCGAAGTATACGCGGAAACACGGTTTGAAATCCGAGCACGAAAGGCGGACTGACGTGGAGCCGTGATGTGCCGAAAAGAGGCCAGTAGAGTCTCATTAAACGCAAAACGTACAGGTGAGTGCGAATCTCAGAAAAACTGGCACAATCACAAAGTACTCAGGAACAACGCCTTTTTGCCGTGAGAAACATGTGACGTTCAACAAATGCCCCATTCCATTTTGAAAGATAAAACTTTATGACTAGAAGAGTTGTTCTTGTGTGGAAGAGGTTCATTGTCGTAAAACTGAGCAATCTATATTTTAGTGGTAAAGCTATATGGACTTGAACGCTTGCGTGAGAAGACGGGAGATTGTGGAACGAACGGAGTGTTCAAAATAACCAGTAAATTGGTGGAACAATGACGAACTGTGCGGCGACCACGCAAAGGTGGAACTTTTAGAATATGGAGGTGAAACCCAAAGTTCCCGCGTGACGAGGCCAAATAAATTAATAGATTACACCAAAATGTTGAGTAAAAAACTTGATTCTGAGAGGAAAACAACAAGCTAAGGTTCGATATAGACCGTCCGTGGTGTTGTGATTACACTAGTGTGTAGTTCGTCAGAGCAAGGGAATTGAGGCCATACTGGTTAGCAGGGTGTACAGGTCCGGGAAATTCCCGCTCCAGATGGGTAAGTTGGATCGAATTCCGAAACTTATCGCATTGAGTACCCATATACTACTAAAGCCAGAACAAACCCTGTGTCGTTAGGTTATATCAAGTGGTTGGTATTTTTGTCCACCGATCGGATATGAATGACGTCGAACTAGCTTACGCAGATTAGACACACCATTGGGGAACAGGTGCCAAACGATCCTCAAAGGGCAGAAATGAAACACTAGAAAGATGTGGATTTGGAGTTTAGCGGGCACCTTTTAACCAAGCAAAAAAGCAAAATATTGGCAACTCAATATAGATGAAAAGCTGAAGCAGAATCCAGCAGAAATCCGACTATCAAAAAAATCAAATGCAGAGTGAATAAAAACAAACAATAGCATTTCAGCTGTAACAGCCTCTCGGTGCCTAGCTACCACGTGTTCCGAACGAGGCTCGAGGGCCAAGATACTGTGAGGTTGTTCAAGCCTAGATAAGAGCAGTCAAAATGCAGAGGTCGGGTTTGAATCACGGACCTTCCGGTTAGTAAGTTGATGCCTCAACCACTGAACTATCTAGAGTGGATGGTAGCCCATAGACCTCTGCATAAACTTATTAGGTATTGCCTTGCTGCTTCCAAACTGAGCGTGGTCGTACCACTGAGCAATAGTTCTTAATAAACTGCAAAACAGAAGCATTTTAGCTAAGTGTCCTCGTACTTCTTCACACTACTGGAGGAAACTCGCTCGCTATTTTTGTAAGCTACACCGTAATTCGTTTAACTCTTCTGTAATTACTTGTATGGAGTACGTAGAAACTAACTGCCAAAAAAGTTTAGAAGAATGCCAAATAGTTCTTCGGTAACTCGGAATACCCGGATTTTTCGCTCCCAATAGGTCGCTAAGTTTTACTCAAGTTGAACGGAAGAAACAGACCAGGGGGGTCGAAAAGTCTTGCACTCTACTCCAGAGGGCTGGAGATGATCCGTAGAAATAAAGGACAATCTAGAGCATCCTTTATTCCGAATTCGGTCAACTAAAATCAAAACTAAACTAACTAAACTAAACTAAACTAAACTAAAACAATTAGCAAACAGCTAAAAGCACAATCCGAGGGTCCTACCGAGAAACCTAAAACGAAGTGGATAGATCAAATAATCTTTAAATGAATAGAATTCCCGAAAACGCGCGTTTTTGCCAGAGTTAAGCAGATAATTTGGTGGAGAAATGGTACACACTCGGAAGACGGTGCAGCTAAAATCAAGGGTGGCGAACGTGTTTTAATGCCTTGTGGACGAGGGACGCCGCACAGAGTGATAAGGTACAGAAAACATTCCAATCGCATAGTCCAAACTGGTTGCAATTTTTTGCTTGCTGCTATCAATGGTGCATTCAGGCAATATCATGAGATGACAATGGTAGCAAAGATTTGTCGCACATATTAACCAACCTATTTGGAGACCCGGTCCACCAGGAACATGTCCCCATCCTAAGTCAGCCATTTAGGCTATTCCATAACGCCATCTAATTTCCTTTCTCGTATGTCTTCGTACATGTTCCTTAGTGGTAATGTATTCCTTCATATATGGAACCCACACAGTCGGATAAAGGGTAAAATCACCGAGTCACGACGGCATAAACTCGTTCCGAATAAACTCGACTATTGTTTACCAGTTGTGGAACGGGTCTCTTGATGTTACCCAGTATGTAGTTGTTCTGACGTCTTTCTGTCTTGTTTAGTTCAAACCTGACACGAGAAGCTGCAACTACGTGGTTTTCTGTAGTCCAAATGGCGGCAAGTGCGAATTTCAAGAGTGCTAACTTACTTGGATATATTGCGGGCTTGCTCTTCCGTTTTACAGGCACGAAGGATATTCACATCAGCACCAGCTATGAAGCAGTCTGGTTTTCCAGAGATGATGACACCACATGAAATGGACTCATCTTCCTGGAACTTTCTGTAAGCGTCAAGGAATTCTGTCTGAAGCTGTTCTGTGAAACAGTTGACCTGAAAGTTTTGAACAGGGAACGACCCAACATACTTTCGAGCTCTGGTCATTCACTCTGAGTATTGCCACATTCTGCCTTTTTTCCAACGCCACGCATTGACCTGCGGGTGCAAGAAAGCACCGTTAAAATAGAACTATCAATGTACAAAGGAGATTAAGTAAATTGATTGCTTCGGGTTACGAGGCACTAAGCGATCTTATAGCAAACCAAATTTTCCACCTCACTCTCACAGAATTCCACTCAGTGCTTCGACAATAGCACTAATCTTGACATGACTCTAGCGTATTAAATTTTTTCATAATGCTGGAAACTTCACATGTCTAAACAATCGGCCTCGCCACTGTTAGCTCAGCCGTCCGGGTCCGTACATTTGTGACCTGGACTTCAGAGCTTATTAAAAGATTATTCAAATAAAGACCATTCTTACCGACCACTGAAAACCTCAGCAGTGGAAATACACGTCTTACAATGGACTGCACGTACTTGCTAGAGTAGCAGTACAACGCTATTTACGACAGTACGCACGAAAGGCCTTGTGAAAGATCGCATAAGACAGCCAAGGGTGGACGCACAAGGTAAGCTGTTTGGAACGAGAAATACCCGAGTACTAAGGAAGTCTACAGCGTACTTTTGGCCACTCAGGAATGAATGAGGTTCAAAGGGCTTCAAGTGAAAACTTTATAAGGGTGACAAAGCATCATCATAGGTTCTGTGAATTAGATCAAATGTAGACCTAGATCAGTGTTATTGGCACGCTGTAGATAAGATATGCGGAAGTGGAACGTCTTGTTGGTTTTGTGAAGACGACATGCGAATTAGTTCAGTAGAAAACCGTCGTGACTGTCGAAGGTTATGTCTCTCGAAAGAAAGCATAGGATTCAGGCTTGTATAGCATACTCAAGACTTGGATGTACGTAAGAGTAGTACTGAGAATAGCGAGGCTTCGAAACAATCCGACTCTGTGCAGTAAGCCGCGGTGATTGTTAGCAGTAGTGACAACCTTGTGTCATTAAGGATGGAGGACAGCAGATGAAAATCCATCTTAGCTTCATTTGTCAAACAATGAAGGAATAGGAAAGCACCGTAGAACCCAAAGAACTCACTATTGGTGGAGAATGTGCGCGAAACACTCCTCCGTTTCGCCTTTGAAAACCCGTAGCTGACTAAGTGAATAATCATACTGCACATTGCCAGAATACCAGTCTATCTACTTTAGCCAATAGATCAGCACTAAATGTAGCAGTTTCTGTGAGATTGAAGCCCAGTTGTCCCGATTGGATACGCCTTCAATACGTGCACTAACTTCGCCAAACAAACGTTTTCTAGTTAAGATGTGAAATTCTCAAACCCCATCTTTACCGGTTTTGTCAACTCCACATTGGGCTGCTGTTACGCTGTGGAATACTGTGGACTGAGATCAGCCAACCGGACCTCCATTAATGCTTAAGTTGATCTCAGTTCTTCATTCTCTATTCCTGGAAACCCTTATACAAAGAATCGACCAACCGAACACTCAATACTCCTGGAGTTAGCGTTGATATCTGTTTCACAGAAAGTATCAATAAAGTGAAGAGCAACCCCTAGGATGAAAATTAGCATTAGCAGTCCGTGAGGCGAAGGTCACACCGCAGTTATCCTAGATGATAACTCAAACGGATGACTGCCAAACCCAATTATTCGCTGTTGTACTGGTATGACAACCCGGTCCAACATTTGAAATGTGTAGCAATGTAGACGTAATGTAGAACCCCAGATGGCCCAGTGGTCAAGGCGTGAGCTTACTGATCGGAAGGTTCGTGGCTCGAAACCAACATCGGCATCTCGGCTGCTCCTGTCTAACTCAGGTAAGCTCGCAGTAGTGCGGCCGTCGTGCTTACTTTCGGTAGTATGACAGCTAAACACTGCAAGCGTCTTACAGCTTAGTGGTTGCGTTGCGTTAGTGATGTAGAAATTTAGTAATGTACAAATGTGTAGGCTTTCAACATGGTTTTATAAGTTCCAACAGCGGTAAAACATGAAATACATGAAATCAAGCGGAAATGTAATGGGTGTCGCAAATAACACATGTGGACTGCCAAACGAACCTTCGTCTAATTTTTCTCTTCGGGATTAAAAATTCCACTCAGTGAAGGTTAAAACAGCCATTAAGTACACATTGTGATAAGACCTAATACCACCACTAATGATAGGGTAAGGTAAAAACTCATACCATTCCACAGACAAGACAAACCAATACATCACTAACAAATTCGAACCAAGGAATAATCAATCTACAACAAAACGCCTGAAGTTCCTTCGCTGTTCGGTAAATGTGAAGCATATTATCATCAACGTTCGGCGCATTTAGGGCTATTTCTTCAAATCTAAGCATGTCTCTGAATCGGTACCACCTCAATAATCGGATGGAATATACACAGTTTACAAAAATATTAACGGACCACTAAGGTGAAACAAATCACGTTATTAGCAGCAATAGTGGGGAAGAACACTAATGATTCACTGCGGTCCAAGAGATACGACCTTATAGTGGTGTGACGGTTTGTGTACCTTCGTAATCAACTGAGCTATGGTAAAAATTGACCATGTGAGGTTGGTTCACCTGCAATACAACCGACCTTCATTTGGTATCCTTTGTCTTCCTCCTTTGAAATTTCCCACTCAAATATTCAGACTATCAAACGCGATGCAATGAGTTCCACCAACTTCCCAAATCACCTATAGCGTTCAGCTGCAACACTCTTCCAGTGCCTGACTGTCATGCCACACGAAGGAACCACGAGGGCTGGGATACTGCCAGGTTGTCCAAGCCTAGACAGGGGAAGTTGAGAGGCGGAGGTGGGACTCGAACCTCGGAACTTCCGGTCAGTAAAGTCGCGCTCTTACCAGTTGGGCTATCTCGCTCCCCATATGGTTTCCTCGTCGTCGAAACCCGAAATCAGCTGATTAAACCGTGTAGGATGATAGGTCGACAGATATGCATGTTTCGTAAAAACGGCAGTGAAACATTGATGTTGAACACATGCTGTCGATGATGAAACGCCTAGACAAAGCTGGACAGTAATTGCATTCAGCCACGCTTATTACCACCACGTGACCTGCACCTGACTGCACTCCATCTTTTAACCAAACACAGGGAGCGCTGTTCAGTGCACAGCACCTGTTACTTCTCGCGAGCCCGATTCCCGAACCTCAATCACAATTCCGAAAGCCTGAACCTCACGTTCGCCTCGAGTTGCAGCCTGTAAATTTGCATGTATTCAGCGACATTTGCACAACCATCTCCAGTAAAATTCGCTACTGACCATCGTCAAAAGTTGATTCATTTTCGGAACCAAGCAATCCTGAAGATTAGGGTGGTCCATAAATTCACGCGATTCGTCAGGCCACCGACTTCCTTTTGCACGGCATCAGCCAATTACGATGCATTTTGTTGGCCAAAAGAACACCTGGGTTAGCACCCATCTATCGGATCCCTATCACTTTCGGTGCACAAGTGTCAGCTAACACACAGTCACAACACTGGCGACGGTGATGGATTAGAAATAGAGTCTGCGGATGAAATTGATGGTTGACATATGCTGCTTTCTGGAGTCTGAACACTCATTTTTGGCCAGCGCTCTTACGTGTTTCAGCTGCGTGTTCTCAGATTGTTTTTGTTGCTGCAGTTGCGCGTGCTCGAAATGCTTTCTTTTGGTATTCCGAAATCACCTGAAGTTGGTCAGGTGAAACTGACATCGTCGAAGACATGTCGCGAGTATCCGGTTCACAACACTTGTCAATCGATAGTTCATATCTATATATTTATGTTTATTTGTATTTATATCTGGCAACCAGTCCTCTCATTATGCAAACACTCGGAGAAGATTGTTGCACCACCTTGAACAAATCATAAAGATAACTTTACAGGAGTTCAGTGCAGTTCGTCTTCAGCTCGACACAGCCTGAGACATCACACTGATTTCACGTTCCACTTGGAATGCAATTGGGGAGCCATTATTTTCTGTTACCAACCATTGTGCACAGTCTGCTTCCGCTTATTGGTGAACTCACTTGTGATGAATCTTTCAGTGATGTACGACTTAAAAGCATTTACTACCACGCGAATTGTTCAGATCTGAATTTACTCGTTCTTGATTGTGTAGATAACTTAAATCTTTTTTGTGCCCCTCCATACTCTGTATGTGTGTATCCAGCTCATACAAACACTTCCCAATAACCACACTCCAATCAAAGGTTTCTAATGTCTTTAAAGGTAGTTTTGGGCATTGTTCCAAAGCCTAACCCATACTTTATTTGAAGCCAAATAGAAAATCCCTCTTCAGACAAAAACGCCCTGTGCCTTATGCTGATCTTGCACCTGTGGACAGTGAACTCGATCGTATCCGGAATTCAGGTGTTATCCAACCTGTCAACTACTCTTCCCGAATAGCTCTCATCGCTGCGGTCATGAAGACGAATGGGCGGATCAAGATTTGTGCTGATTATTCCACAGACTTGGATGCTGCACTCGATTCACATCCGTATTCTCCTCCAGTTCCACATGATCTGTTTACCAAAAACTCAATATTGATACCTTCCTCGTTAAACTCAACCTGGCTGATGCCTATTTACAAATCAAGGTTGCGAAAGGCCCCGAGGGTCTTCTAACCATTAACACGCACAATGGTGTTTTCAATTCAATCGTCTTCCCTTTAGAGTAAAAACGGCGCCAGCCATATTTCAACAGATCATGGACGCTAATACTAATGGGGTAACAGACGTCGTGATGTACTTGGATGATATGACCGTGGCAGCCTCAGATCAGGAAGAACTCCCTTATCACTTAGCCACAGTAGTTGACTGAATCCAGGAATACGACTTTCACTTCCGGGATGAAAAATGTACATTCTCTCTTACATCTGTCAAATATTGGGGTTTTATTTTCGATGGATCCGGCCGTCATCCTCACCCGGACAACACTAATGCAATCCAGAGAATGCTACCACCCACACTGTGATCTTTCCTCCGGTTTATGAGCCATTACAGTACTTCTCTACCAGATACGCACCGTGTTCACAATCGTCCCATCAACTGAAAAAGGATGTCCCCTGGAACTGGTTA